CTGAAATTTTATCTCCAGTGTTGTTAGCATAATGACTCTATCATTTTTTTCCCTTGTGTGGTCTTTGCTTCATCATTTCTGCCCTTACTCTCCAGAAGGGGGATTCAAAATGTGCATTTCCCTTTGAATACTGAGTCTCTTCCAACACACACAGGCATTGCTGTAGCCTTGGGATAAGGGGGAGGATCAATGTAATACCCTAAATAAGAATAAGCTCAAGAAAAAAACAAACCTACTTTCTGTTTCTTCATGGGAAATGCGCTGTATGAAGTGACCTTATGCAAGGAGCAGATACAAGTTCCAATATTTCCCCACCTAGGGCTGCCAATTCCCCCCGGGGGGCGGATTTCCCCCCGCTTTGGAGGCCTGATTTCCGCCCCCGCGGAATCGAGCCCCAGGGGAAACCCCACCCCCGCGTGCACGTCACAGGCAATCGACGTCATGACGCCGGGTACGCTGTGGGCGGGGCCACAGCCATTTGAGGGGAAAACTATGTTTTCCCCTGAAATGGCTGTGGCCCCGCCCCCAGCGTACCCGGCGTCATGACGTCACTTGCTTGTGACGTGCATGCGGCACGCGCTCCGGGAGCCACCCCAGAGTCCCCCGCCAGCGAGGTAAGTCAATTTGGCAACCCTATCCCCACCAGAAGAGTAGTAGTGATCCAAATGCTTTCTGGATTTCTTGGGAAAGACTGAATGGATTACAGAGGAACTGGACAGACCAAAACAGAGCACCCATAGCCTGCTGTGTGGGAGTGGAAAAGAAATTATTTATTTATTTATATTTACATTTATACCCTGCCCACCCTGTAAACAGGCTCTCGGCGGCTTACAGAAGACGGCCAACAGGCCAATATAAATAAAACAATAAAAATATTAAAATCCCTTAAAAACAATATTAACAATAAAATGCTTGCTACATCAGAGTAACTTTAAGATGAATGGCTTGTGTCTGCATTCCTTCTGTCTTCGGGTCTTAAAATCAGTCCCACGGTCCAGATGTTCGCCGGTGAGGCTCAGAGCGGGCCAGTCCAATATTCCGGATTGATGGTAACTGTGGTGGTGACTCCTATTTGAAAGCCTGGCGGAAGAGCTCCGTCTTGCAGGCCCTGCGGAACTGTGAGAGGTCCCGCAGGGCCCTGATCTCATCCGGGAGCTTGTTCCACCAGCAAGGAGCCGCCACTGAAAATGCCCTGGCCCTGGTAATGGCAAGTCTCGCCTCCTTGGGGCCCAGGATAGACGTTGTTGGGCCCTAGACCGTAGTGCTCTCTGGGGCACAATGCGGAAAGGCGGTCCCTCAGGTAAGCCGGACCCTGGCCATATAGGGCTTTAAAGGTAAGCACCAGCACCTCGAAGCGAATCCGGTAAGCAATTGGCAGCCAGTGCAGCAGCCTAAGCACAGGCTGGATGTGCTCCCAACGCGGGAGGCCCATCAACAGCCTGGCCACGGCATTCTGCACCAGCCGCAGCTTCCAGATTTGGGACAAGGGCAGCCCCATGTAGAGAGCGTTACAGTAATCCAATCTCGAGGTGACCGTCGCATGGATCACCGTAGCCAGGTCGCAGCGGTCGAGGAAGGGAACCAACTGCCAAACCAGCCGAAGATGGTAAAAGGCCAATTTTTCAGTGGCCCCTACCTGGGCCTCCATCGTCAGAAGGGGATCCAGGCGCACTCCCAAGCTCCTAACCTCCAACGCTGGCACTAATAGCGCCCCATCAAAGGTTGGGAGCGGGAGCCCCAACCCCTTACTGCCACGACTCAGGCATAGGACCTCCATCTTCGCCGGATTCAGTTTCAACCAGCTCAGCCTGAGCCAACCAGCCGCGGCCTGCAACGCCCAGTCCAGATCTTCCAGTCTGGAGTCCGACTGGCCGCCCAACATCAGATAGAGCTGGGTGTCAGCGTATGGCCTTTGGAAATGTCTGCCGGGACCATTTTCCATGTCTGCCGGGACCATCTTCCATGGAATTGTGCAATAGCCTTTGCCGGGAAAAGGGGATGACGAAGGCAGAGGGGAAAGGGGAAGGCCAGACAGCCTCTGTGTCTAAAGGATGCAGAGCTAAATATAGGATCCAAGAGAGAAGTGAACAAGGAGCCACTGAAGTGACAAGAGCCCAGTAATGCCGGAGCCGGGCCAAAAGAAGGCCTTTTGTGCTCTGTCAAAGGGACACATGAGAGAGTCTGCAGATAGAGCATTTGTCTCTTGCTCCACATGGAAATCAGAGATGGTAAAGAGGTGGGGGGACTGTTTCCTGCAGTCTACTGTGCTCCCTGAGTCAATGACCCCAGCTTGTGCACTTTGTTTTAATTCCAGTTTTGGACAACCACAATTAATCTAATATGTCAGGGTTACAACATGTTTTTTTTATTCCAATAGAAAAACTTCATTAAGAGACCGAGGTCCCCACACAACAAGAGCAAGTACGAACTTTCTCGAGCTGACTGTTCGTTTCGACCTTTGTCTTCGTCAGATGTCCTATTAAAGATACATATTCTTAATAACAGGGAAACAACAGTGAGAAGAGTTCTACATTATAATCTTTTTTCATTCTATTGGAATTCTATTTTTTATTCTATTGGAATAAAAAATATCAATTTTGAATATACTGTTAAAGTATAAAGAACTTGTTCAGCAATATGTTGATTTTGTACTGATATATTATTGCTGGGTCCTTTGTTGAATACTTAGGGTTACAACATGGACAAGGATCTATGGGTGAACATACATAAGACCCTTTTTCTCATGCTGAGGACGAATGGAGTGTTACCTCCCCAGACATACCTGTGCTAAACTCAAACTCTACAGCAGACTCAGAAGGACTGGCAACCAGAAAGGCAGTAAGACCAGGGTCCAACACCCCACATTGGTCTGTCACAAGCAGGCAACATGGAGCCAGAAAAGACTCCATATTGAACCAGCCTGACAGGCTCAGGAGGAACCGAGCAAAACAGGAGTACTGTGAGCAAGCACATGCACAGGATCCTATGACTGATATAATTAACAGAGATAGCCAGTCTCACCATTCTACTAATCCCTAATCCTATCTTCTCTGACCCTGGCACCACCCTGGTAAACTACACTGTCTCCTTCGAAGTAATTCTGAAGATCTAGCAGCCTTCCCCACTCAACATCGAACCACTAACACATAGAAATGCAAAAACTTGTGACTTTCCCAACTTTGGAAGTCTAAACCAAGCATCATGCATGTACCCAACTTAATCTGGCTACTCATTACATCATCTTGCATATATTCCTCTAATAATAGCTGGTACTAGGGCAGGGGCCTTTTCGGTGGCGGCCCCTACCTGGTGGAACGAGCTCCCAGAGGAGATCAGGGCACTGTGGGACCTTTCGCAGTTCCGCAGGGCCTGCAAGATGGAGCTCTTCCACCAGGCATATAATTACGGGCCGCCGCCGTAGTGCACGGCCCGCAAAGTCATCATTGAGCGGCTGCCATAAGAGTGACGTGCAGAATAACATCTAAGCACTTTATGCTGGGAGCTGGAAACCCATCTGAAAGCATTCCTTCTGGTTGAATTTTAATTGCCGCCAGCACTTTGTAATGTATTAATTTTAACTGTTATGTTTTAATTTGTACTATGTATGTTTATATCATGTATTTATGTCATTGGAAGCCACTCTCAGCCTGCTTTGCGGGGAGGGCGGGGTATAAATCTGACAATCAATCAATCAATTTTGGAATGCTGTAAAATTTACAAGGGCTACCACATATAAAGAAAATATTTATAAAATGTTCCATAGATGGCACTGGTCGCCAGATAAAATTGCTAAATATTACCCAAATTTAACGAAAAATTGGTGGAAATGTAAGAAAAACGTGGGAACATACTTTAATATGTGGTGGAGATGTGGGAAAATCCATAAATTTTGGGTTGGGATACAAAAGATAATTCAAGAAATATTGGATATTAATTTACCTTTAAAACCAGAGTTTTTTAAATTAAATATTTTACCAGATGGTTATAATAAATGTGACCTTTATATTATTACATATGTATTGACAACAGCCAGAATTTTGTTAGCAAAAAATTGGATAATGGATAAAATACCATAAAAGGAAGAGCTAATCCAGAGACTGTTGGAGATGGCTGAGATGAATAGACCGAGCAATTTACTCCAAGGAAAAGAGGAAGAAAATCACCTAAAACTTTGGTCAAGAGTGTATAAATGGATACAAAAATGATCGAAAATTTTGACTTTCATGATTATTTGTTAATTCAAGTGGACTATATATATTTTTTCTTTATACAATAAAGTTTTTTAAAAAAAAAAAAATCCTTGTACACGTGTACTGCTCTGCACATCTGCAATCAGACCCAGGCAATCCATGCAACAGGAGCTCCTGCCATTAGCATGCTGCTGAAGGCTGTCCTCTTCCACTTTATGACATAAACAATTCTACTAACTAACCATGGATCCAAGTTTAACTGAGATCTGAAGCTCAAACTGTATGTGATGAATGCTCCCTCTAAGGTGTGGAGTCTTGTGAGCAAAAATTCTACTTTGTGAGCTACTGGCATTAAAGCTGTGAGCGAGCGATTTGGCTACTGCATAAGTTAATTTCCTCTGGAGCCATCCTTCCTGAGCTTTCCCAATCCACACTGATGAACAAGCTCCATGTGCGCTACATATTCTCTGCCGTGGAATGCTTTTCCTTGTGCACTAGCACTTCCATTTGTGCAAGCTCAATGGCTTTCAATGAGTTATTGTGCAAATGGAAATTTTAGTGCAAGAGGAAGCAGAAACCATCTAGTACTGATGAAACCCATTCCTAGGATCCAAGCCTATGTCATCATGTAGAACTGGATTCCAAAGACACTGAATGCCCAGAGGAAACTGAATGCCAGCAATGAAAAGAATATGTGTTGTTCCCTCCCTCACCTTCTCATCATTAGGCATTTTGAACATCAAGCTGTCCCTTAACACAAGCTTTCCTGTTTTATGATCCCCATTGTTAAGGAGTCAAGGCTGTCCTTACCGTAGCTGGAGCTATCAGAAAAAAGCGACAAGAAGCCAGATCTGCACTGTTCTGAGGCCTCGATGTCCATGTCTCCAAAGACTAGGCTGAGGTAGTTCCCAGTAGCCACATGGATCCTCCACTGGCAGGATGTGAAGTTGGGGTAGGTGCCAGGATAATTCTTGGAGGCCAGCGTCCCACTGTAAGGTGTCAGCACAGAGTGACCACAACCATCCCCTGAAAGATAATAAAGTAAGATGAGGAACACCTGCCACAACAGTGACTCAGTCTGGTCAAATGATAGGCAGTTGAATAAGGTGGTCATGACACGCCAGAGTTCTGAGTTGGTAGAATGGGACTGTACTAGTTCAGAATAAGGGTGAGTCTTACCATTGTAACCTCACCTGAGATCATTGTCACAGTCCCTGTTTTTCCTGAGTTCCTACTTCTGGTAATGAGATGAGTGGCCACTAAGGATGGGGCATTTTCTTTCATGGTGCCTTCTTTGTGGAAGGCCCTCCGACAGGTACTAAATCTATTAACTTTCTGGATAACCAGTGCAGTGCAGTGGACTAGGATCTGGGAGACACCCAGGTTTGAATCTCACACTTCACCCGTTTTTTTCCTGAAGCCTTTTTTGTTTTTTCCCCCGAAAAATTGGAAACATTGAAAAAAGAAAAGAAAAAAAAATGATTATGGAACATTTTATTTTAACATGATGAATAAAATATTTTAAGACAAGGTGTTCAAATATTTTCCAAAACATCTCTAAAAAATAAAAAATACGTATGGTATCAGATTGATCTAATTTCTGTGCACTGAGGACAAGCAAGTCCTAGGTTTCAAACTCCAATGCAAGAACAAGATGCATTTCTTCCTTTAGGAGGTGCTATTGTCACAAGAAAAAAAGGTTTCAGTTTTGTTTTTGCATGTGGGTGGGTATTCTGTTTGTAATAATTGTTTGGATACACTATATTTTTAATATGCTAGTTGTGATAATTTCATGCCAAGTAAAAATGTCCATAGTCATATTTTATGTTATATAACAGAATGACTTTCAATCTGGAAAAGAAAAAAGAAGTCCCTAGCATTTTTTCCAATTTTTCCAAAAATTTCCATTTTTTCTGAAAAAAACGGGTTTTTTTCCGAGCTTCAAAATTTCTGGAAATTTTACATTTCTAGGAGAAGCTGCACCCAAAACACCCAAAGGCAAGACTGACTTTGATAAAAATAAAAAGAAGAAGAAACAAGAAGAGAATGTAATTGAGACATAAGCACTTGAAGAGATAATTATTTTGCTTACTTGCTTAGTGCAAATACTTACTGTTATAAACTGAAAAGAAGCTTTACTCATGTATGACTTAATATGAGAAACTTGAATAAGTTTATTACCAGCAATATATATATAACTCCTATTAGCCTTTCTTTTAGTAATGCTGTCCTATCACCAGTAGTCTGTTAGTGTTTACCCACCCCTTGTTTCTATGTAGTGTGTAGTATAAAAGCAATAAAAAATTATATATAAAAAAACTGTGTCGAACGCTGCTGACAGGTCTAACAGCAACAACACTGTTGATCTGCCCTGATCCAAATGCCTCTGGAGGTCATCCGTGAGGGTGACCAGTGCTGTCTCCGTCCCGTGGCCCCGGGCGAAAGTCAGACTGGAAGGGGTCTAGAATGGAAGCATCATCCAAAAAGCCCTGTAACTGAATTCCCACAGCCAAAATGGGCTTGCCACCCAAACAGGGTCGGAGTGAGACATTCAGATGGGCCTTCAAGGCAAGATGGTCCAACCATGGGACTGTCAAAGCAGTAATCCGGTCCACTGTAACCCCCACTGCAAAGATCAAATCAAGTGTGTGCCTATCCCAATGAGTGGGAGTCGTTACAAATTGGGAGAGTCCCAGTGCCGCCATGGACGACACCAGGTCTGTTGCCTGAGTAGAGGCCGCATCATCAACATGGACATTGAACTCACCCAGGACTATCAGTCTAGGTTGTTCCAATGCCCAGCCCAATATGGCCTCCACTAGGGACAGTAGGCTATTGGCTGGTACGTTGGGCAGTCGGTACACCAACCAAATCACTACACTCTCCCTGGCTTCCCACACTAAGCTGACACACTCTATGCCTGTGATCCTTGGTGGCGAGAGTGCCCTGAAGGAGTAAGCCTCCTGAATGAATAAAGCCACTTCCACCCCCTAGTCTGCGATTGGTGAAGGACTGAGAACCCGAGTGGAGCCAGCTGGGAAAGAGCTACTATCTCCTCCTTTCGCACCCAGGTCTCAGTTATGCATGCCAGGTCTACATTCTGCTCCTGCAAAAAGTCCTGAAGGACCGTGGTATTGTTGTTTATAGACCTGGCGTTACACAATGCCAATGTCGGAGGGGGGGGGGCAATCATCCTAGCCCCACTACCTACTGCCTTTGGGATGGGTCACAGGTTGGAAGGGGGCCGAGCTACTCTAATTCTCCATCCACTTCCCTTAACTCCATGCCCGGTCCCACCACTGTACTTTCCCCTCCCCAGGAGCACTGGAATCACTTGCCCAGTCATCATCCCGCCTATTGGTCTTCACCAGCTGTGAACCAGCTGTGAGCCTCAGACCAACTAGGGACTTCAATCAGACCAGACTAGTCTTCGACAACAGATGCTGGCTCCCAGTAACACCTAAATTAGATGTAACACATTCTATAATAGTCGGTTCAATTACATGCCCTCACAATTAATCTAGTAGCCTATGATTGCCTTTTTCTCTCCCCCCCTTTTTTCTCAATTTAGCCAGTAATTCAAGTTTAAATGTAAATAAAGGCTAATACAAATCTATGACACATTTACATCAGGCAACCAGATGAATACCCACTATACTGTGGAAGCTTGTTGGGTGACCTTAGGCCAGTTATACATTCAGAGCCTAAGTCACCTTGTAGTAGTATTTTGATCTTATCACACATTTTCTTGCTGATCATGCATGTTTTCCTGTATTTGTGAGCTCAGACCAGGTTCTACTATTGATCAGCTCCCATTACATAAGGTTTTCTTTTATCTCTGAAAATTAACTACAACAATTATAGAAATACTAGATTTACTGCCTTTTAACAGAGACTAAGAGTTAAGTTTAGCCTTCTAACCTTGCTTGAAAAAATATGAGTACGTATCAGATGTATTTTTAGATGCAGCTGTTTGATTATCTCATCAATAGTTAAGAGCCAATTTATCTAGAAGATGATGATTGCATATTTAAGTTAGGAAACATCTAGCGAAAGATGAGACTGCTATTTTTCTATATAAATGTATTGATGGGATAAGCACATCAGATTTCTCTGGATGGAACTCTCTAAGTAAGAGTGTGGGTGGGTCAGCCAGGCTTGGGTTTGGTGAAAAATTCCTAAAAGCTGTTGTGACAGATTGCACAGAAAATCCGGTTTTAAAATGCTGCTTGTTTCAGAGAAGCTGGGAGATTAGGAATTAATCTTCCCTGGAGTAGAGAGCTTATTTGATAGGCTGCTCTACACATTCTCTGATTGGCCAACATCAGCTGAGAAGAAAGCATAACAGCCGCTGTTCTGGAGGGAAAAGAGAAGAGTTGTCAGTCCCTCAGAGAGACAGGTTTTTGTCTCTAACAGGAGTCAGTATTCTGACAGAAAGATTGTTTTACAGAGAGAAGAGACTTCTTTCCCCTAACAGAGTTAGAACTAATCTGAGGGAGAATTGAGACTCTAGATCCAGAAAGCTACAAACTACTTTACACAGACAAAAATACTGGCAAGGGTGATGTGGCAGTTAGGCTGAAACTCCCAATCAAGCCATGTAGAAAAGAGTTATTGCTTCCTGGGGAAAAGAAGAATAATCCCGACCAGTAAAAGGAGTTGTGCTCTGAGGAGAACTCAGAGTCTGTAGTAGCGGGAATAAGCTGTGGACACCTCAGGAGCAATGCTCCCTCTAAGGTGTAGAGTCTTGTGAGCAAAAATTCTACTTTGTGAGCTACTGGCATTAAAGTTGTGAGCAAGCAATTTGGCTGCTGCATAAATCAGTTTGCTCTGGAGCCATCTTTCTTGAGATAAGACAAAAATGTGTGAGCTGGAGGCTAAAAAACTCATCTTAGAGGGCACACTGCTCAGGAGTTAGTAGAACAGTAATATAAATGGTAACAGCCCAGGACAACTAGTAAACCGGAAAACAGGCTGACACTCAGCACTTAGGATGAAATGAAATACAATTTCTCCACTGTATTTAACAATGTTATTTATAATAGCTAATAACACATCCACATTGTTACATATTCTGTCTTTCATATGCACACCCAAAATATAGGAAAAAAGTGGGTTCAAAAGTACAGGAAAAAAGTGGGTTGACGAAACTCCCCAGAGTTGATTTTCATTTTGTTCACAACTTCATCCAAACATACTGAAGCATCATGGTAGTCTCTCTTGAAAATCTACTATTCATAGTGTCTTCACATGATATTCCATGCCATGATTTCAAATACTAGAATGTATCCTCATCCATTTTACTGGAGAATCTTATCCCGGGCATACAAACAGATCAATTTGCCTTCAAATTGCCTATGCAAATTGATTTGTTGTGCATATGTGTGTGCATATGAAAGACAGAATATGTAACAATGTGGATGTGTTATTAGCTATTATAAATAACACTGTTAAATACAGTGGAGAAATTGTGTTTCATTTCATCCTAAGTGCTGAGTGTCAGCCTGTTTTCCGGTTTACCAGGAGTTAGTAGAAAGCTGTAATTTCTGAAGGGAGAAACCAGATTTCAACAGGAGACATCTAGAGCTATTCTCCAGGAAACTCTATTAAGAATTTATCCTTCAATTTTATCCTGTGTTAGATGCTGTGTTTTTACTATAATTTACTAAGCCAAGTATTTCTGAAGGAGGAAGTTTAAGCAGCAAGGAGTCTCAGAATGGTTTACAATCTCCTTTCCCTTCCCCTCCCCACAACAGACACCCTTTGAGATAGGTGGGGCTGAGAGAGCTCTTTCGAGAACTGCTCTTGAGAGAACAGCTCTGAGAGAACTTGTAACTGACCCAAGGTCACACCAGCAGCTCCATGTGGAGGAGTGGGGAATCAAACCCCCACATTAGAGTCTACACTCTGAACCACTACACCAAACTGGGTCTCTAGCACTGCCCCTAACAAGCAAGAAGGGGCAGAGGTCGGGCAGCCATTCTCTTCCCCTTCACGCCCACCTTATGTGCCATCCTAACAATATG